ATCCTGAAGGTTGGATTCATTTGTAAACTACCTTACATATGAATCCTGCCTGAATCCTGGCTACAGGATTCATTTGTAAAGTACCTTCCATATGAATCCTGCACGAATCCTGAAAGTTGGATTCATTTGTAAACTACCTTCCATATGAATCCTGCACGAATCCTGAAGGTTGGATTCATTTGTAAACTACCTTCCATATGAATCCTTCACGAATCCTGAAGATTGGATTCATTTGTAAACTACCTTCCATATGAATCCTGCACGAATCCTGAAGGTTGGATTCATTTGTAAACTACCTTCCATATGAATCCTGCACGAATCCTGAAGGTTGGATTCATTTGTAAACTACCTTCCATATGAATCCTGCACGAATCCTGAAGGTTGGATTCATTTGTAAACTACCTTCCATATGAATCCTGCACGAATCCTGAAGGTTGGATTCATTTGTAAACTACCTTCCATATGAATCCTGCACGAATCCTGAAGGTTGGATTCATTTGTAAACTACCTTCCATATGAATCCTGCACGAATCCTGAAGGTTGGATTCATTTGTAAACTACCTCCATATGAATCCTGCACGAATCCTGAAGGTTGGATTCATTTGTAAACTACCTTCCATATGAATCCTGCACGAATCCTGGCTACAGGATTCATTTGTAAACTACTTAAACAGCGAATCCTGCACGAATCCTGGAGGCAGGATTCATACAGGATTCATATGCGCATATGAATCCTGCTTGAATCCTGCCTCCAGGATTCGGGGATTTGATTCACTTTTTTTGCTGTGATTTCGTGCCTAGAATCTGAAGTATACAGATTGAACAAGGCCCAAGAGATCAACAATAACTAGATTTGTGAAATTGAACAAGTTCAATTTAAGACTCCAGATTTATTTGACCTAGATAGATCAGTAAAGAGCTGAGTAAGTAACTGAGTAATTAGCTGAGTAAGTACCTTAGTAGTAGTTGAGTAAGTAGCTGAGTAAGTAACTGGGTAAAAAGCTGAGTAGGTAGCTGAGTAAGTAGCTGAGTAAGTACCTGAGTTAGTAGCTGAGTAAGTTGCTAAGTAAGTAATAACTAATAAAGTAATTGAGTAAGTAGTCAAATAATAAGCTGAGTAGGTAGAGAGGTAAAGTAGGGTATGCAGGAATTTTTAAAAGTTTATTTGATCAATCTGCATTGTGAATACTGTCAAGTGCGAATTTCAAACTTCAAAATGGCGTAGAAAAAAAACCGGGGGTCGGATTGCAATTTTAATTTCAGATCCGGATTCCTGCGGAAATTCTACCCCTAATTCATAACTTATACGTTAAATTTGGAGAACTTTTTATTTTGACCTACATTTCGATCACCATATCTCAAAAGTGGGTCAAAAAACTTCTTGACGGCAAAAAGTTAACATTATTGGCACACTCTTTGCTACATGTATACAAAATTTCGAAGAATATCATTGAAGTGTAGTGTCCGAATTGCAAAAATAAGAAAAAACTATGAATTTGACCTAGATTTTGAGCTAGGTATTTTGGTGTCCAAATTTTGAAGGAAAGTAGCTTTTGAGGTCCCCTTCTTCTATGGGCTTTCATTATGTTTAGCTGTACTCATTCTATATCTTGTATTTTTACACTTCAAAAAATTATTCAGTCCCATTGATTTAACATGGGGCACCAAATTTAGCGATTTTTGAGCTTTCAAAACGTCATAACTTCTGAACAAGATGTCAAATCGAAATTTGGTTTGCAGATTCGAATTCCTGACAAAATTCTACCCCTAATTCATAACTCATACGTTAAATTTAGAATTTTTTTATTTTGACCTACTTTTTGGACACGCCATAACTTCCGAACCGGAAGTCGGATCGAAATTTGGTTGGCAGATTCAGATTCCTGACAAAATTCTCCCCCTAATTCATAACTCATAAGTTAAATTTGAAGAATTTTTTATTTTGACCTACTTTTGGGACACCATATCTTAAAAGTGGGTCAAAATACTTCCTGACGGCAAAAGGCTAACACTATTAGCAAACTCTTGGCTACATGTATACACAATTTCGAAGAATATAATTAAAGTGTAGTGTCAGAATCGCAAAAATAAGGAAAAACTTTGAATTTGACCTAGATTTTGACCTAGGCATTTTTGTGTCCAAATTTTTAAGCTAGGTGGCTTTTGAGGTCCCCTTCTTTCAAAAGCTTCCATTATATTTAGCTGAACTCAGGCTATATTTCGTATTTTTCACTTCAAAAAAATCTTTTTTCCCATTGACTTAACATGGGCACCAAATTTAGCGATTTTTGAACTTTCAAAACGCCATAACTTCCGTACTAGATGTCAGATCGAAATTTGGTTTGCAGATTCAGGTTCCTGAGATCATTCTACACTTACGTCATAGCTCACATGTTGAATTTGGAGAACTTTTTGTTCTGACCTACTTTCCGGGCGCCATATCTCAAAATCGGTACGAGTAATTAAAAATCTAATGGCATATCTTTGAAAGAGCTGTTTCTAAGCTACATGATGAAAAAAAGACAAAGTTGTTTCAATAAATAACGACGAAGATAATTGAAAGAATGTTGAAAATGCAAGATTTGACCTAGTTCTTGACCTTTGACCTAGATAAAAATTTGACCTAATTTCCCAGAAAGCCGGATTCAGTCTTCAGTTGGTCATGTAAACAGCTTAAAGTAAGCTCTTCTAGTTGGTGAGAAATCTGGGAAGGAGGAAGAATAATAATAATAATAAAGAAAACTGGCAAAAGCAATAGACTCCAGATTTTCATCTGGAGTCTAATAAAGTAATAATATGGATGATGATCATTACTTTCTAGAAAAAACAAAACTTTATTTGATATTCATTCCAACCAGTAGTTCTTATTCAAGAGACTTTAATAGGAGCTTTTAAATAATAATAATGAACAATTAAGAAGAAATTTGGACAAGACAGTGGAAGGCACGTGGGAGCATGACAAAAAAACATCCTAGGAATGCACTTCAGAAAAATAAATGGCACAACAAATTTTGAATCTCACTTGGTATCATGCAGATCACAAGTTAACGGTATATCTTATTCTATAAGTGATACTTAGAGTTGGGCTATTTGAATTAATTGAGAATTATAAAGGATTCTTTGTACATTTAATGTATAGACAGTTAAGATTTATTAACACTAAAACCTTGATCCACACCAAAAGATAATGAAATATAACTTAAATATGCACAACTATTTAATTAATCGCTGTGTACAGTGTACAGCATACAAAATGGGATCAATTTGCACAGTCTATGAGGTTTCATATTAGATTAAATTGGTGCAAAATGCAATTCTACTACTAGAACAAAAACAAAAACATTAGTAATGTACAATGTGTCTTGTTCAATAATATAAGACAAACAGATTTGATAATCTATTTCATTTCACTATAGTTCAGTATGCCACAAAAAGTAAAGGGAGTGTTTCCAAGATTGAATCAAAAGGATATGGAGTAGGCGCTCAATGTAATATCCCGGAAAGAGATGTCGATTAGAGCTGCGGGCAGGCGGTTTGACATCCCACAAACTATTCATGACAGGTTGAAAGGAAGGGTGGAAGTGGGTGCCAAAAAAGGTAGACAGCCCGTTCTGCCCCGCAAAGTTGAACTTGAACTCGTAGACAAGACAATAGCCACTTCCGAAGCTGGCTTTGGGATCTCAAAGCTCCAGCTCCAAATGAAGGCTGGGAGAATCGCCAGATATATGAGGCTTAAATCTAACTTTGCCACTAATAAATCTGGCAGCATATTTGCTGGCTGTGTAAGTACAAAAGCACACTGCCCATGTTGGCTTTCATATTTGATATTAGTTATTTTATTGTTATTGGACAATTGTCTTTGTCATGCTGTGTTGCAGACATCTTATATTGTTATGGGTTGAAACAACCCTCTGGTGTACTTTCTTAGTTGAAAGTGGTATCGGTTCGAATCCGGTGGGGGTTAATTTATATTTGAATGTTTGGTGTTTGCAATTCATCTGAAGTAACTTGAGTTTATCAAGAAAAACTACAGGGTGTCCAAGAAGTAATGTCAATGACCCTAGCATTTTTTCATTTATGCTTCAAATGTCATGAAACTTGGTCAGAATGTTCCTTGTACATTTATACATATAAATACGAAGTATGGAGTGACTGGCATTTGATTGGCTGATTTTATGGTTGCCAAAGTAACACAAGTGCATGGACCCCGGGGCAGTTCAGAATGTACCTGGTAAATATTATGTAAATCAGGTAAATATTATGTAAATCAGGTTATTACAAGGTAAAACCTTTGGCAAAAATGAAATGCAATGTCTTGGGACTTTTTCAAATCTTAACGGTTTTATTGTTTATTGGGAGTTACCATGGTAACACTTCTTTGTAGTGCTTAATGACATCATAATATGTGTTCTGTCTCTTGGACCGAATTCTTAGAATTACCACGGATGATTTCCTGATTGTATCACAATCGAAGTCGGACACAGCTAAAATGGAACCTGCACAGAGTAGGCTTGAGCAAAGATGTAGTATTAAATATAATGTAAAACTAGGTAAAACAGAGAAAGAAACAATCAGAGATGTAAAGAAGGCTTATGGGAGAGATGCTATATCCCAAAGGAACATATATTGCAGAAATGAGCTCTGGTGGTTTCAATAATTATTTATTTTCTGAAAACTGCTGGATATTTTTTTAATATCTGACCCTTTCGAGAAAAAGGGTCAGATATTTTTTTCAATGTTTTTGCAACATTCCCACTTCAGAGTTTTATTTATTAATAACTGGTGTACTACTTAAAGCTTACATCTAAAACTGGCGGAAAATAGAAGAAAAATGCACTTAATCAATCACAATTACCCTTATCATTCAAAAGTTATATATAATTCTGCAAGAACGTCTCGAATAAATAAAAATTAAATTCCCGGAGCAAATATTTTCATCCAGTGTAGCAAATAAACTGGCCAGAAGTCATCTGAGTTTTGAAAGAAAAAATAAATAAATGTCAATGTATTGGGCGAGGCGGCAAGCCTCGCCCACTATTTTTTCTCGAATAGGTATTCTGCCATATCCAGCTCCTGATCATCCAGTATTTGTTTAATATTGAGCCTGCTGATGGACCACCAGCACAAGCTGCACTCTTGAGGCAACTGGATGAGTCTGCTGATTGACCACTAGCACAAGCTGCACCCGTGAGGCAACCGGTTGAGTCTGCTGATGTACCACCAGCACAAGCTGCACCCTTAAGGCAACTGGTTGAGTCTGCTGATGGACCACCAGCACAAGCTGCACCCTTAAGGCAACTGGTTGAGTCTGCTGATGGACCACCAGCACAAGCTGCACCCCTGAGGCAAACGGTTGAGTCTGCTGATGGACCACCAGCACAAGCTGCACCCCTGAGGCAAATGGTTGAGTCTGCTGATGGACCACCAGCACAAGCTGCACCCCTGAGGCAACTAGTTGAATCTGCTGATTGACCACTAGCACAAGCTGCACCCTTGAGGCAACTGGTTGAGTCTGCTGATGGACCACTAGCACAAGCTGCACCAATAAGGCAACTGGTTGAGTCTGCTGATTGACCACCAGCACAAGCTGCACCCCTGAGGCAACTGGATGAGCCTCCTAATGGACCACCAGCACAAGATGGACCACCAGCACAAGATGGACCACCAGCACAAGCTGCACCCCTGAGGCAACTAGTTGAATCTGCTGATTGACCACTAGCACAAGCTGCACCCTTGAGGCAACCGGTTGAGCCTGCTGATGGACCACCAGCACAAGCTGCACCCTTGAGGCAACCGGTTGAGTCTGCTGATGGACCACCAGCACAAGCTGCACCCCTGAGGCAACCGGTTGAGCCTGCTGATAGACCACAAGATGCACCCTTGAGGCAACCTGTTGAGTCTGCTGATGGAGCAGCAGCACAAGCTGCACCCGTGAGGCAACCAGTTTATAATGTGGATAGACCTGCAACTAGACCTGCAACTAGACCTGCATCTTGACCTGCCTGCTGCTCAAGGGAGGTACAGTACTACAGTACATTGTGAATATGATCTTATTTTGCCTATAATTAACAATAATGCCAACACTTAGAAACAAACTGTGTGTGTGGTGGTATTATATTTTACATAATATGGCTCCAAGTAATATTCATTTGTTGTAGCTGTATCACAAACTAGAAATTGTCTGAAGGTAAGATTTTTCTTTTTCCTTATTTCACGCGTTGTAGGCAGAATTCCAACGACATTTTTTCTCACAAAAGTGTATCAGTATCATATGTTTTAGAAATTGTACATGTTTGCATCAATTTAATTCCTCACTCAAGTTACATCAACAATATGGGTTAAAAGTGCAGATCTTAACTGTTTTTCAAAATACCGTTTATGTAACTTAAGTGTGGAATAAGGAAAAAAGAAAAATCACAACTTCGATGTTCCAACATTTTGTTACCGAGACAAATTGTTTCGAGTTGATCACCAGTCAACATGGGTTAAAACTTGAGATTATACATGAGATTAAAAAAGCATGTATTTGAGGTGCTGGCTTAAATAATATAAGTACATATAGATAAAATTCAGATATTTCAGGCAAGGATTAAAATTTGTAAAAAGTGTGAGTGCTACCAACTAAGGGGACTAGTAGTGCGACCAAATGAGTGCGTAGCAAACTGGAATGGTTTTTCCAAGGACATGGAGGCAGGTATTTTTGGCACCCTCATCGGTAATGATGACAATGATTGCCTCTGATCAACGTGATAGACTGGAAGCAATGCGTAGACAGAGAGATAAGTATAGGGACTACATCTCACATGGTTGGTCTACAGACCCATTTTTAGATTATTCTGTGAGGAGCAGTTCTCCTGAACAAAGAAAACACGATACTCAATACATAATGAAACTTGAGACAGAATCAGAAATAGAAGTTCCAAAGGTATTGAGACAATTGGATCATGTAGTGTCATGTATTCATATCAAACAGGTTGTTTTATAAACACTGGGAACAATGCAATGCAACTGCAGAACCAATTAAAAGATCAATCATACAAAATGATCAACATGATAGTGAATTTACTTCAGAAATTTTGAACAAGTTCCTTGAGGGGGAGGCAGGGAACCTCATTTTTAAACTAAAAAAAGTTTTCTATTAATGGTATGTTGTATCTTATCACTTTCAGATTTGATGAAAGTGGTTTACCACCTTGTTCAGGATAGAAGGCCTGTAAGTGCTGTGATTGTATATTCGTATATGGACCTTTGCAAATATGTTGGGAGCGGAGAGCCTTAATAACCTCAATCAAAGTGAAAATGCCAAATACACAAGTGAAGAGACTGTGTAGCAGATCATCAAGGCCATTTCTGAAACCATTACAAATGAAATTCTGGAAGAATTGGAGAAATCAAGCTTCTCGCTGCAAATTGATGAAACAACAGATACTGCCACCATAAAGTGCATAAGATAAGGGTCATTTTTATCCTATTCTATTTCTTAACAACCGTCTTAGGGGTTTCCGAGTTGGCCAAATGGTCTAGAGCGCCAGAACGAACTCAGCTAGGCGATGACATCATAACCATGAGGTAGTGAGTTCGAGACGTGTGAGCTCCTAGTGTTATTTCTTATCTTAATCTATATTCTATTTTTCTATTCTTAGAGATGACTATGTTTTGCTATTCTCTTTAAAATAAAATACACTATGACCTGATTCGATTGCAAATTAAATAATATCACAATATGACACAAATGGTATATCACATCAGATGTGCAAATATGAAGTTTTACTTACTCTACCGACCATATTCTAGTGTTTTTGCCTACACAAACATAAAACAATACCCTTAATGATGCAAGATGTAGATTCATCAAAGAAACATCGAAGCTCACTTCTCTGAAAGATTTGGGAGAAGGGGAGATGGGAAACTAAGACAAAGACATAATTTGTAGTTACACTTACTTAAGCAGAAAGTAGGAAAGCGGAAACTGATTGTACTGATATTTGCCTGGGAGAATGCCAAATTTTCCGAAGGTTATTCTACAAGAATGAGCCAAATAAAAAATGATACTATACTCCTCAAAAAAAGTTAAGGACCAGTATTTTTCCTAATAGGTTTTCATGTTAAACCTTATGTATCTTTAAACTTACAAGCAATGTTTAAGCAATATTTACGCCTGGCTTCACATCCATGAATACCCTTCCTATGGCACAGTGGGATTATGTATTAAATTATTAAAAGGCACCACCAATTAACCAATTATTAATATTATCTTCAAAAACTAATGATTGTTTTCATAATGTCCTTTACCTTGAAAATGTACAATAGTTCATAGACACATTTTCTCTCTAGTAGCTATGTAAAGTTAGCAATGCCAATGATTTTTGAAAGTATATATATATTTCAGGTGTAAAATACTTTGAAATAGAAATGGTGAAGTGTGCCCCTAGACATCTATTAACAAGAAAAATCCAAAGGCTGAGAGTGGAGGAACTTAAGCAGAGTTTAACACGTGATACTGCAAAGCCAGTAGAAACAATTTTCCCCGTCACAAAATTGAATGAGGTATCTATCCTAAAGACATGGAAGAGGGAATCAGATATAGGAAGAAAGCAAAATTATTGTTTCAACCACAGTACATTTTTGGCTCATATCATCCATTGGCCTTACCGTGTTTTTTTTAAAAAAATGTATAATTTTTGAATTATTATGGATAAGTAAATTTTACAATTTGCTTGCAATTTGTAACCTCCAACAGAGCTAATTATACCTTTTAAGTGGGAGAATGGTATATCCATACACAAAGAGAATTGGATCCCAGGGACAAAACTCGATGTTTTCAAACAGGTGTTGCCTTGCGAAGAAAGGGAGCAGTATATGATCAAAAATTTGGATCTTAACGGTCCAGTTTATCTCCTGTGGACTCCAGAGACTTCAATAGAATATAATAGTGCCACAACCAGCTTTAAGAAATGACTATAAAATCCCAGGATCTGTATTAGCTGACAATAGAATCAAATATCCTTTACCAGAGCAAGTCCGAGATGGTGTACGATATGTATTTAACAATATTTTCACATTAGGAGAATGTAGAAACAAAAGTGGAAAAGTGGAGTTCCGCCAAAAGGAAAGATAAATACTATATAGGTGGAAGCCCTCACTGAGGCTATGAGTAAACAGTATAGCCACACAGCTGCTTAAAACGTCAAAAATAGACAACTTTGATATATTTTCACTGGAAAATTGGACAAACTAAGGTTTCAGGCAAAATAAAAGAAATATAAGAAATAAAAATCAGTGTAGCAGTTTATTGTACATATTGGTTTGAAGCAAAGCAAATGACATACTTTTACAATGATTATACAGAACAGTGTATAAAAGAATACTACTTTATAAAAAACACAGAAAAATTATAGAGAAATTTCAGTGACCTTCACACTCTCAAAATTCTGAACATACTGAATAACCAAAACTTTTCTCCTAGAATCATCCTCAGGCCTATTGGGCGAATTAAAAGTGTGAAAATGTCTCCTCTCTATAAACTGTTTTTTGCAAGAAAAAGTATAATATGACCAATTTGCAAATGTTTAGCTAAGCTACTATCCAATTAAAATTCTCAAAATATACTTTCAGTTCCTCAGATAGTTCCAGAGTCGGTGTGAATTCAAAAATATATGACACTATAAATATCTTGAAGGGAGATATCGATGTCTCAAATGAGAAGACAGAGGCGATACATCAAATTTTACTCAAGAACCAGGAGAAAAACATGGTTGAGCCCGAGCAAAAACATCGAACTTTGGTGTACCAAAATAAGGCTGCATCAGTAAGTACATGTTGTTACCCTGTGTTTTCTAAGTCAAGTTTCACTGTATAAGTAAATTGCCAAGCTTACTTTTAACGCGATTGTAATTTCTCTCTGAAGATATTAATAAAATAGTTAAATGTTTGGAGTTTTTTTAATGCTGTGAATTGTTCACAATTCTAAATCAAGAAGTCGCTCGTATTTCTGTCATATTAAGGAAATCATGTTGCCGAAAATCAGTGCACAGTGTTTAGGTGTTGTTGTAAAATTGCGTATATGTCGTTTTAAACCCTCTCTAACGCAATTTTATTATAAACCAACACCTTAGGGTTAAAGTTTCGCTCGAGGAATTAACTCATTTTCATCAATAAATATCAACCCATCAGGTTTTCTACTAGTAAACTAACATTTAAACCTCAATCCATTGTCGTTATCACTTACTTCTAAACCCAAGTGAGATATGGCTCTTGCCTCAGCACGAGCCAATAAGTAATGCTTTGAATTTAATTTTTCAGGTCTACATAATCAATGACTGGGCCATGAAATTCCTGCCCATGCCACATCTCGAGACTCAGGCAGATTTCTATGGCAAAAAAGCCTGAACTGGCACATATCTGTTGTGATCATGCGCAGGGACGGAGAATACTTTATACAAAGTTCGGTTTGGTCTTTGGTTTTTCAGGATGAATTTGACATAGCAAAAAAATTCTTATTACAATAATTTAGGTTTTGCAGTAAGAAATCACTCAATTAAATCAATGCTTTTGGAAAACACTGAACCCCTTTACAATTTTTATACGCCAGGTCTGTAGCCAGGAGGAGCGGCCGAGGAGCTTTCCTTCCTTCCTTTTCAGTGGCAATCTTAAAAAAACGGGATGGGTACACTGGTAATTAGTTGTTGAGAAAGGAATATCAGTATAATTGAAATGTATAAGTTGATCAATTATTGAAACTTCCAGGGAAAAAAAGTCTTGTTTATTTATGTTATTTAAAAAATTTTAATATTTCAAATTCAGGATCTCTTCAATGGCAAACACACAGATGGGGAGGACGCACTTAATGACATTATTCCCATTATTCCACATAATTGCCTGTATAAGATACAAGAACATAACTTAGGAGGAATGCCTGTTTGTAGGTTGCTCCCGCAATGACAAACAAGGCAACAACCTAAGAAAACCTGCTGATGCATAGAACAACCTCTCCATGTATCACAACAATTATCACAACAAGGTTATCACAACAATTGCTATTAATTAGGATCAAATGAAAAATTCTACATTATGAAGATATGTTCTTAGCTCAATCATTCAAATACAGGTAGGAGGCAATGTTATTAAATATCAACTGTATAATAAATTATATAAAAAGAATGGTAAAATATTCAGCTAGTTATTTTAAGTGTATGAGGTGTGGATCATTCTCCCATGTTGAAATCATACAGGCAAAAGATGGGAGGCCAATCCAGGACTTTATTCCTGAAGCTGGACAAGCAGTTGGCATTTGTAATGAAGTGCAGGTGGTGACAAATTTGAAAGTTAATGCCTTTTAATATCTGGGTCCCTGACATCATGACTATTATGGAACAGCCTTGTTTAAAACCCATCTTGGCATTACCTTTATCCAGTTAATATTGAATGATTTGTTTATTTGTTTGCAGGTGATTCAAATCTACTCTCTTAATGAGCCAGTTCTTGCCAAGACATATTTTGTGCAAGATATTATCATTAACATGAACAATAAAAAAAGAAAAATGTAAAAGAGTGAAGCTGTGGATCCCAGCTTGTCATAAGGGAAAACTTCAACAAATGAAGTTCTACTGTCTGTGTACTGCAGACATGCATAGTCCTGAGTCTGATGAGGAAGTAGGCAGGGTTTACATGAAGCAAAGTTCAAGGGTAAGTTTATTACACATTTTAAGGCAGAATCAGATCTATAGGGGTGACAAAATGTACAATTGCAAGATGCATAATTGACCTAGCAAGATGTACAATTGACCTAGCAAGATGTACAATTGACCTAGCAATCTATTCCTTACGATCTCAAGTACAATATCTCCCAAAAGATTCAGGATATTGTGGAGCACGTGGCCTGGTTATTGTTCATTGTATATAATGTATGTCAATCATAAGTCGGTGTGTGCTTCAGATCGTGTCATTGGCCAGATAACTATCCAATCATCATCTTTGTACATCATTATTACCCCCCAGTATAAGATCTCATGTTGATCCCATTTTCATTAGAGTTACCCATAACTAGAGGGACACAAACACACCTTTTTATTAACTAAATTGAAGTGTTTGTTATTGATAGCAAAGATTAAACCAGTGAGGGTTTATCATAAAGCAGGTCTTTATTGAGACTGTTGACATAACGCTACCACAACCTCCTCCCACTTAAATCGACAGAAAAGAACCCTGCGCTTCAATATTATGTATTTTGATTATTTTTCTAACAAAGTTCAAATTGGCTGGCTAATGTGGGATTTCAGAATAATTCAACCAACAGTGTCTTAAGACTAGCTATATTTGAACTTTACAGAAGAATACCACATGCTATTTTTGAAGAAGTCAATGACCACATCAATCAACTGAAACAGAAGAAAGACATAATAATAGTTCCTTTGCCAGCCCAGTAGTGATTGTGAGAAAAGGATATAAAACAAAATTGAAATTTTAAAAGGGGCGCATTTGACTATTGCAAGTTGATGTTAAACTCATCACATCAAATATCATAAACTAAAGTATTTAATATATATGTTATCTTTTCAATGGATGTGACAGAAAGGCAACAACATTGGTTCCATCATTAAAAATCACATGACAACAGGATCAACAATAGAAACATATAACTTTGCTGAAAGTTCAAACTTTAATGTTTTAGATATGGATTTCAATATATCAGATGCTGGTGACTTGGAGGACATCAGTGATGAGGTTCATGATCAGTCTACCTCTACAAAACCAAAAAGTAAGTATAGCATTTATATAATCTGTAGTCTGTCACAACTCCAATTTCGAGAATAATATTGATTTCTAATTAACAATTAAAATATTGTTACATTAAGTTTCATCGAATCAAATATATTTGAACTATATTGTGTTGATTTTGATTCTCAATTTGCTATTAGTATATTATGCAGTATATTATTTCAGGAAGACCAATTGACATTGTGGTATTCAATAATTTGTTGCTCAGCTGCATGTATTACAAACTG